ATTCATTGAACAGATCTCATACCTCGGAGCAAGTCATCGAGACTGGCACACACTGCCAATAAAGCTGGCAAACAACCTTGCCTCTCTGTTTGGCAACAAAGAATCAGACATGAGATTTGCAATGAACTTGACACAATAGCCTTGTTGAATAAGATTTATTTTAAAGGAATTTTAAAGGAAACTGTCAGGCTGATTTAACTCTTGCCACTGTTTTAATGGCCACATAGAAGATTACAAATACATACATACTAGACTATGAATTTCCCTCTCCAAGTTTTTCACAGACTTGCAAATGTCAGAAACTTAGAGGAGGCTGACAAAACTGCCTCCAATCCATGGTTTTCTTTTAGAGGTGTAGTATGAGTGTATGTGTGTGAACATGCGACCAGTTGAAAAACCTAATGCTGACGATGCATTTTTTATCATGTGCCTCGTAGTGTAATTACTCCCAGCATTTAAAATGGACAAGGAGTGAGTGGGGCTGTGGCCAGAGGAATATCTGAAACATTTTATGTGAATTACTAATAGCAATTTATTCAATTAATATGTAATTTAGCACAAGAACAATGTATCTTATTTACAAAGACTGAGTTCTAAGCACATTTATTTTTTTTAGAGACACATTAGTGAGAATTCTTGCTTATGAGCAAAGGTGGTGGTGTAGGGCAAGCATGTGAAATTCAAAGTCTAGCACGGGCCACATAAACAAGGTGTAAGTTTATGTAGGCCTCAAAAAAAAAAAAACCTTACATTTTCATAGACACGTAGGTTTATTTTGAAAAGTACAGTATAAAAAAGCCCCCAACATCCCCCTCTACTAAATCCCAGTGCCCCCCATATACTAAATGCCAGTCCTCCCCCTCTACTAAATCCCAGCACCCCTCTCAAGCCAACTAGCAGACTCCTCTCACATTGCTGCTGTCAGTATGCGACTCCGGAGTCCGGCCTCTGGTATACCCAAAATGGCACCATCCGCACCCTGTGCCAAATCTTTTCTTCCTGCTACTTCTTGAAACCCTGTGAAGGTGCAGCAAGTCGATGTCACCTCGGAATGCGACGTGGCGTTGCGTGTCTCCATGCACCTCCAAGTACTCCACTGTCCAGTCACAGCCAATGCAACACTGACCAACACACACACACACACACTGACAGACATACAGACAGACACACTCACACACATACTGACACACATACTCAGACAGACACACACACACTGACAGACACGGACACATACACATTTACACGTTCTTGCACACACATCATTTTCTTTATTGCTCCCTACATTTGGGAGCCGATATGGGGCCTCTCCCTGGGGTCCATTGGGGATCTTCTGTCTGCTCCCTTGCTTCCTGTATCCTATAGGAGTCAATTCAAGGTACTAATCCACACCTATAAAGCACTGACCAATTCTAGCCCCTCCTATTCACTGACCCGCAGGTATGCCCCTTCTTGGTCTCTCTGCTCTGCCCTTCTCCTGTCCGCTGCTCGCACCCGTACGTGCAACTCACGCTGGCAGGACTTCTCGCAGGTGGCCCCTTTCCTTTGGAATAGCCTGCCTACGACCATCAAACTCTCCCATAGTCTACAATCATTTAAAAAGTGCCACAAAACCCATCTCTTTAGCAAAGCTTATGGCCTCCCCAAGTAACCTCTACCTCACATACATGTCCCTTGCTATCTTCTAAAGGGCAGCACTCGATTCTCTCCTGCAGCGCTGCTTCAATCCCACCTATTGTGATTGCTACCTCCTGTGCTATTGTGTTTTATACCCCACCTCCTATAGACTGTAAGCTCGTTTGAGCAGGGTCCTCTTCAAGCTATTGTTCCTATATTTTTTTGTAATTGTCTCATTTATTGTTAAATCTCCACCTTTGATAATATTGTAAAGTGCTACGGAATATGCTGGTGCTATATAAATACCAGTAATTATAATAATAATGAGCTCTGTTATACACTCTGACACACATAGTATTGAGTTCCTAGAAAAGAGGGACATTAGGATAAAATAGAGGGACAAATTGATTTAAGCTCAGCATAAAAATTGTCCACTTGAGAGGTATGTAGTGTACACATATTAATGAATAAGCCTGGACCTCAGGAAGGAGTGATAGGTGATTAATATATGGGTATCACATCATTCTGTACTGCAGATTTGTACTGCCAAAAACCACATTTTCAACTAGGACAGACAGATTTACAATCACAAAAAAAACTGCATGATTGAAGCCACCAATCATGCCTTCACAAGAAGCAGTCTGCATCTGCCACGGGATGTACAGAAGTCACAAACTCACATAAACACCACTTGAAATGCTGTTCTTTTTGACTTTAGATGCCTGTATGCATTCAGTAACCTTGGCCCATGCCCAAAACACACAATTCATTCTAAATTAAAAAGCAACTTGCAACCCCAGTCACAACCTAACCCCCAGTCTTTTTTTCCCCTTCTTCCGCACCCCTCACGCCTTTCACTACCATCGACCAGGCAATAGAAAGATCCTTGGAATTAGCTGCAACAAAGTCTTTTTGTTTTCACGTGGGCACAGTAGTCAGCAGCAAGGGGGGGACTCTCCCCTAAGGATGGTGGTTGACACTGGAAAGATAAATAGCATCTATCATTTTGACAGACAGCCCGTGCGTGTATATTCTTAAATATGTGTGTGTTTCTCTGTATATGTATTTGTATACCTATTTACGCACAAAAGCCTCCAAACTAATCAGGGTGTATATGTTTATGTATTTAGTAGTTGCCATGTTTGGCCACAGATATAGATTTGCATATGTATGTGAGTGCAAGCCTCTGTTTTTAGCTATTTAGCTTAGTGGAGCTATTTCGCTACTGCCATCCCTGCTGTATGTGCATATGATTTTCTGAGCTCCTATTCATTTACCTTGGTGTGTTTGTTTGCAGGAGATATTTTCAAATCAGATCCTAGCCAGGATTACCACCTGGTTTTAGCTGCCCCTAATTGTATTACATTCTATATTTTCACATATATTGTAATGAGAGCTCAAATCGGAGTTCAATGTGTCTTTTATCTATATAGGAGAGCTTAGTACTTTGTAGGCAAATTTGGAGTAGGTCAGTCAACTATCAAGTAATTTTAGTTGTAGCAAAGTTGAAACAAATTTATATTTACACCTTTGTTCTTAAGCAGAGCTTTATAAAACAATTGCCTTTGTATGTTTTTGTTTCTTAAAGGACCACTCTAGGCACCCAGACCACTTCAGCTTAATGAAGTGGTCTGGGTGCCAGGTCCAGCTAGGGTTAACCCATTTTTTTTATAAACATATCAGTTTCAGAGAAACTGCTATGTTTATAAATAGGTTAATCCAGCCTCTAAAGCCTCTAGTGGCTGTCTCATTGACAGCTGCTAGAGGCGTTTGCGTGCTTCTCACTGTGAAAATCACAGTGAGAAATGCTTTCCTATGAGACTGGCTGAATGCACGCGCAGCTCCTGCCATGCATGCACATTCAGCCGAAGAGGAGGAGAGCTCCCTGCCCGGCGCTGGAGAAAGGTAAGATTTTAACCCTTTCCTCTCCCCAGAGCCCGGCGGGAGGGGGTCCCTGAGGGTGGGGACACCCTCAGGGCACTATAGTGCCAGGAAAACAAGTATGTTTTCCTGGCACTATAGTGGTCCTTTAAGTTGTTAATACGTTTAAATATTACTTATAAGTAATTACAATATTATTATTATTATTATTGCCATTTATCAGTCGAGCTTACATTCTATAGGAGGTGGGGTGTAAAACACATTAGGACACTATGCACTTCTGATAAATCTATCCTATAGTATTCACGGAATGTTATGCTATTAGTGCACCAAGCATTGAAGCATTGCTTTGCACACATAAATGCACTTACCTCTTTATGAAATTATATTTAATTTGTACTCCACAGCTGTTTTGTAAAAATAAATAAAATTGTATGTATAATTTACCTACCGAAAGTCACTATATTCAGACTTTGTTTTTGAAACTTAAGATTCCTTTTTAGAAAATTGTTAAAGCTATAAAATAGTAGTAAATAATAGTATATATAATTTTTAATTAACTCTTTAATGCTCCCTTTTCTATGAAGTATATATGGATTGTGCCAAAATGGCTAATAGATTGAATTTAATTCATATTGATATATGCAAACTGGCCATTTATCCCACTACTGGACACTTCAATCACTGAACTGGTGGAAGAAGTGTATTAGTGAAGTGCAGATGAAGTGCTAATGCATGAACTGCATGAAACTAGTGTCCTGGCTTCTCAGTATGATAGCCCTGTGTGGTTTCCAGTTGATGCAGTTTAAGATAAAGAAATAAAGGTATTGTTTATTCTCTAAATTATTTTGTTGCCGTTTTATTTGGCACTACCAGTGCAGGGTCTGATTAACACATGCATTTGGATCTATTTTGGACCACAAAGGACAAGGACAAAATTAAGACAGTCGGTTATATCTATGACAAGCAGCAATTTTCTTTATACATTTATGTCATCATTTTACTATCCTTTTATTATTATTTTTTTACATTCTTTATTTGTCACTGTGCACAAGTGTACAGGCATGCTTGCAGTGCCACAACAGCAGTAGCAAGCTATATAATAACATACAAGAGTATACATTGGTAGGGTATAGAGAGTTATAGCACAGATTATTATTATTTTTTTAATTTTCAAGTAGAATAAAGTAACTGCTACTAACATGCTAAGCCTACTGAACTGTTGCTGTTTTTAGTGCTGAACATATGCAAGGCTAAGGCAATGAAATAAAAATAGTAATACCTGCTAAACAACAAGAGAAATGTTTTTGGAGTGGCACTGATGAATAGAGCTAAACCATATTGAAGTGAAAACCGTTGTGCAAAATTAAATGTGGTTAAATACTATATTAGACTATACCTGCGCATGCCAATGCTAAAATGTGGTAAATTACTTTTAATATATTGCTTGGAAGGCCATGTGTGGTATGTCTACTAAAGGGTTAAAAGGAGAGGGGGAGGATTATCATAAAGTGGAGAGATACTATTGAAAAGGGACTAATAGCGTCCTCAGAGATACTTGTGTTGGCTTCGGATTTGTATATAGTGTTAAGATACTTCCTAAGATATCTCAGAGAATACTCCACTAAGGATAAACTATATAAGGATACTAAAGGAGGCTAGATCCTTCTAAGATATAAAGAGGGAAAAATGAGCAAGGCAAAAGACGGTATACATCTTCCTCTGGTAAACAATATGTGTTTATTCTAAGACAAGTAGTGGTGGGTAATAACCAGTATAAAGATAGGATATCGTAGAGGCTAGATACACATCTGCTATCAATTTAGCACAAACTGATACTGTAGCATTTGCAATAAAGTATCGGATAAGCCTCTATCACTAGATGCTCCAAGGATATTATGTAGTAACTAACAGGATCCTGTAATCTATTGAGCTATCTTGTAAAAGTATACAGTTTATGCCAAAAAAAGGTATGGGCTCTGATATGCTCAGAAAAATATCCGTATTGTAAAAAAAGAAATACTGAAAGCATCCAATTGATAGTGGTACCGACACAAAATATAAGCTATCAGTGCCGTAATTACTTGATGTTAGATGCAGATTTGAAACGAAAAAGACCCACTATAGACTGAGTCTAGTGACAGTCCACTGCCTGAATTCCCTCGACAGATCGCTCTCCTAAAATAAAAAACCTGTGAAATGATACTAAATATCATCTGGACTCCCTTGATAGAATAAAGGCTTCCAATACACAGTGATACATAGGGAGTCACTAATTCCAGGGAAGTCTGGCTGGACTATAAGGGGATACTAAATTCTCCTCAAGGCTCCCTCAATCGAATAAGGACTTCAAATAACCATTATTAACACTAAAGGTCACTACTTCTAAAGAAATCTGACCAGAGTCCGGACCCAGAGAATAAAGAAGCTAAAACCAGGAACCCTACATAGAACCACTCCTCTCTAAATTAATATACTACATGCTAAACAATAATAGTAAATCCGCTATATAGCCACTGGGTACTAAACACACTATAAAAGCTTAGGGAGAACATCAGAGGTCCCTGCACTAGAACAGGAAGACATTACAGAATAACCATTTATTCTATGTCGCATATAGGCCACCAGTATTCTTCATGCCCGGCAGGCTTGCGTTACTCTCACTCAGGAAGGGGTGTGTACAGATCCAGGCTCCCTGCTTGCGAACTGCGGTAGATGTGCCACGCTAGCACTTTCCACCTTCCTGAGCTCAGGCCTTCAGGCGAACCATGTCTAAGGACCCTCCATCTCCGTTTGGCAGGGTCAGGGGCCCATGGGTGCTCAGAGCGGCTGGACAGCTGTGCCCCTGGGTGGGCCCCCAGCCCAATGCAGGATCTGTGCAGGGATGGTGAAGGATTTCTGATTTCTGACGCCCTAGGCAAAGATCCATTAACGCCCCCCTCATGTCACTCACTCACTGATGGACACACACTGGCAGACACACACACTCACTGACAGACACACAGACATACGCTCACTGACAGACATACATTCACTCACTGACAGATATACACTCACGCACTGACAAACACACAGACAGACATAAACTCACTCACTGACAGACACTCAGTGACATACATACACTCACTCACTGACTGACAGACACACACAGGCAGACACTCTGCGGCCCAGGACAGGGAGAGCCCACCAGGAAATATCCCGGTGAGCGTCCCCAGCCCTAGGTGAATGCATAATGGTTGCGCCGGCCTTGGATCTGTGGTCCGACATACCGTCTCGATGGGTCAGCAATTTATATGGTGAGGTTTCTGGATCGGCTATAGATGCGTTGCCAGAACATCTGGCAGAGCCGATCAAACCGGGCCTCGCCAAGTCTGGATGTCTGATTCCTCCTTGGTATGTAGAGGTTGTGGCTTGGTGGCCATCTTAAGCTCATCATGTGGTCTTCGGGTCTGGGAGATTCTGGATGTGCAGGGAGGTGATTTTCCCAAGTGGGGACTGGGATGTCACTAACCGGTCCAGAGGGTGGCGGGGCATCAGGATTGCCGCTTGTCCTTGAGCACCCTGGGTTGGGAGATCGGCCGCTGCCCTCAACCATTAGGTCGTCAGTATTGCTAGGACTCGCAGCCAGACGGTGCTGAAACATTATGATACATACATACTTGTGATCCTGCTCGGTTCAGTGTTAAGATGCTGCTCGGTCAAAGCTATTTTGTCAGCAATATCGGGCAAGAAATACCTAAATTCAGCCATGTGTTGCAGGAGCTGAGCTGTAACACGTCTGGCCATCTTGCCGGTCAGGCCCTGTCCCTTACTATCATTTTTTTTGTTTTAAAGAATGTTTTTGCAATTATCTTTGCATTTAGTGTTTTTAGAGCTAAATACACTTAAGGTGCTGCTAATTTATTTATTAAGGTATTGCAAACTTTATAATTAGCGCCCTACATACTTATTTTTGTTTGTTTTGTAATTATGTTGTCCCCCCCAAACAAACACACTGTATATGCAGCATTTTGCACTGAAACCCTGCACATACTGAGTTTGTCCCCTTTGCTGCTAGATGTGTAACTCCACCTCCGTCAGCGTCATTGGGACGGTATTAGTCACCTGGAACAAGAGCCGTCATTCATTGGCTGAGGGCAAACTGAGGACGTTCTCAGGCAAAGATTGAGTGGGAGGATCGACCTCCAGTTTCTGCAGTTGTGCAAAACCAGAATGTGGTAAACCTGCCTACAGAGAAGATCTGACGCCCAGCGAGACCCAAGTTAGAGGGAACTCCATTGCAAAATGGTTTTCCCCATTACCAGACAACGGTGCCTGGATAGTTGGGTAGTACAGTAGGCTGTTTATGATGGTTGGGAGTAACCCTTTAAATATATAGCTTTCAAAAGTGAGTAAGGGGCAGTCAGGTAATCGTATTGGTGATATCTGGTTAATGTTACACTGTTTCTCCGTGTCTCAGTTGCTGTTATTTTTGAACATTGTACAGACTGTAGGAAAGAGATTCATGCACATGTTGATGGGGGTAAATCAACTTCCTGTTTCCGCTAAGTGCAGGTAGGGACTAGGGAGGTAAAGGGAAAAAAAACTCAAAATAGAATGGAAACACTTCTAATAACCAGACATTTAGGTCACAGGTCACTAAGATCATATGGCCCTTCTAGCTATTTATGAAATCTGACTCTCTCCTTGCTTAATAAATGAGTCATGAATATTCATAAGGACATTTGGGTATAATTATGAGTTCCTGTGCTGCATATAAAATGCTGAGTATGCCTGAAATGATTCCTCTAGCAGACTATACTACAGCTTGCTGACTAGGGGTAAGTGAATCTTGTCTTAGCGATATAGCCATCACAACATGCAAATCTGTAGGCAGGGCTCGGAAACCTACCACTCCACTTATTTGAGCAATCAAGATGCAGAAATGATTCCAGAGCCTAATGGCTTCTATGGTATTGGAGTTCAAGGAAAAGGCTGTTGACTCTGTTTTGGCAGAATTGTAAAAGTTTTCTAGATTTATTACCTCTGCACACATTCTCCCAGAGCATTGATTAGGAGATCATCATGCTTTACTTACACTCCACTATTACTGTATTTCCCCTTGGAGATGTTATGTGTGTGGCTGGAATTTGGCTACTTATTAATTATACTCCTGACAACAAGTAATAGGATTCCTGTCAGGTAGCCACATGCTAACAGGAGACAGGATAAGGTCAACTAACAGGAATCCTTTTGGTGACCGGTGAGACCTCCATATGTATTCTGTGATATGTACTGTGACAGTTGTAGTGCCCAAACTAGAATGCTTTGTGTATCTTGGAGTAAACCAGAAGCAGATAATTGCAAAGCTTGTATGTGGCCGCTCAACATTCACTTTTGAAATACAAGTTTACGTCTGTTTCCCTTCATTCTCCATAGTGTGAATTAACATCGCCATGCCTAAATTAAAGACTGATAAAACTGCCAGTTGCCAAAGATAAATGTTTTAATGCAAACGCATCTCAAAAAATTATTTTTTGATCCCCCTAGATTTTCGGTCCCTACCTTCATCAGGCCTGCTGAATGGGGTCACTGAGCCAGCACACTGGGGCTCATGGTGTAAGTCTTGTTTTGTGAGCTGCATACATTGTTTAAATCTCAGGAAATAGCAGTATATGCAAACAAAATGTCATGTAGAAGGTGATACAAGCAGGTATGGTGTTGCAAGAGTAAGCACTTTTTTCTTTTGCTCAAAAAAATGGACAAATGATTTAAAGCATTTTGGTGGCCAGAGGCCCATCCGGAAATGCCACAGAGCTCAGGATGGACCAGATACAAACAAACTAAACGGGATCAGATGTCTCCTAAAATTTGAGAGGATAATGCCTTTCACATGATGCTGGTAAATAGGGAAATATTAAATAATTAACCCTCTCTATGCTTCTGTAAAACCATTGTACCTAAACATAAATTCTCATATTCTTTCTTGTGTTGCATAACCAGATCTGTCCGGTTTACTTCTTTTTTTTTTTCTCTACGATAAAGTTCTGTGTGACCTGAAATGCTTTATCTGGCTGGAATGTCGTATTTGTGACAGTTTGTAATCGGGACAGTTCAGGCAGCCATGGAAGTTTTCTTCCACCTTCATTAGCTTCACAGAGCTAATGGAAGCAGCACTGTGCTATAGTGTGCCTGCCTTCCCCATCTGATTATGGTCCAGTTAACTGAGAATCTGTGATGTATGTTCTGTCATGGCTCCAGCCAGAGGCGTAACTAGAAACCACGGGGCCCCGGTGCGAAAATTGCCCTGGGGTTCCCCCATACATCTACCTCCTACTCCACACGTCCGTCTCTCCCCCACACGTGCAGACAAATGGATACACATGCAGACACATACATATAGACACACACACACACAGAGACCCATACTTACAGACATACATACAGACACATGTACACTCATATATACTTACACTCAGACACACATACACTTACAGACACACACATACACTCACACTCACAGACACATACACTTACAGACACACATACACTTACAGACAAATACACATTTAGACACATACACATTCAGACATTAATATTCAGATTATTAATATTAAATGTCCACCCAGCCTCCCTACCTGGAGAGCTGGCATGGATCTGTCCCTGGGGTCCAGTGTGGCTTTAGTGCGGTGGGTGGCAGAGTTCCTGTCAGACGTGGCGAGGGAGCTCTGCTCACTCGCGGGCTGTCTACTGATGACGTCATATTCCGGGCTCCC